CCTCATTTATAGCATTTTTTAGCTCCTCGTGACTATTTCTTAGTTCCTTGATCTCTGTTGCAATAGATTCTCTGCTGTCCTCTATACTTTTTTCAAGCCCAGTGATTAGTTTTATGATGATTATTCTAAATTCTTCTTCCATTATAATGCTTAAATCATTTTTGTTCAATTCGTTAGCTGTTGCTACTTCCTGGAGTTTCTTTTGAGGAGAGTTCTTCTATTTTGTCATTTTGGATAGTCCCTGGAGTGGCGCAGAACTGCAGGGCACTTCCCCTGTGCTGTCTGGAGTAACTTGTGTTGGTGGCAGGGGCCACAGTCAGACCTGATGTCTGTCTCCAGCCCACTGCTGGAGCCACAGTCAGACTGGTGTGTACCTTATCTTCCCCTCTCCCAGGGGCAGGACTCACTGTAGAGTGGTGTGGCCCCTGTCTGGGCTACTTGCACACTGCCAGGCTTGTGGTGCTGCTTTGATGGGATCTGGTGTATTAGCTGGGGTGGATCCGCAAGGTGCACAGGGGTGGAAGGGGCAGGCATAGCTTGCTTTGCTATCAGTGGTCCCCTGAGGGAGTAGTCCTGCAGCACCGGGAGGGAGGCCAACCCGTCGGAGGGATGGATCCACAGAAGCACAGTGTTGGGTGTTTGCGCGGTGCAGGCAAGTTCAGTGAACTGGGTCCCTTTGGGGTTTCAGCTCGGCTGGGGGATGGGAAAGGGAGATGGCGCTGGCCAGCGCCTTTGTTCCCCACCGAGCTGAGCTCTGTCTTCCAGGGCTCAACACCTGTCCCTCCCCCTGTCCTCTCGCCCTCACGCTCTCTGAGCAGAGCTATTGACTTATAACATTCCAGATGTTAAGTCCCACTGGCTGTCAGGACTCACGCAGGCAGGCCGACCCCTCCACTTTTGCAAGCCAGACTCAGGGGCTTTGCCTTGCTAGGCGGGCTGGCTGCCCCTCCACTGCACCAGCTCCCTCCTGCTAGTCCGTGTAGCATGCACTGCCTCTCTGCCCTTCCTACCCTCTTCCGTGGGCCTCTCGTCTATGCTTGGCTCTGGAGAGTCTGTTCTGCTAGTCTTCTGGCCATTTTCTGGGTTATTTAGGCAGGCATGGGTGGAATCTAAGTGACTGGCAGGATGAGGTGAGCCCAGCATCCCCCTGCACCGCCATCTTCCCTGGATTTCTAAGCTTGTATATTTTAGAAGTGTGATTTATGTAATCTGTTCAGTTGTCAGGTTTTATTTTTAAGGTTCATATTAAGGATTTCTTATTAGAGGCCAGTTTTTCCTTACTACTGAGAAGGGGTGGGGAGGGATGAACAGAGAGTACAAAACATGACTAATTGGTAGACCAGTTGCATAGATTAAAAAAAAATTTTTTTTAATGTTTATTTTTGAGAGAGAGAGAGTGAGTGAGCAAGGAAGGGGCAGACAGAGGGGTAGAGAGAGATGGAGACATAGAATCCAAAGCAGGCTCCAGGCTCTGAGCTGTCAGCACAGAGCCTGATGTGGAGTTCAAACCCATAGACCACAAATCATGACCTGAGCTGAAATCGGACGTTTAACTGACTGAGTCACCCAGGCACCCCAAGTTGCATAAATTTTTAAATTGTGACTTTTTTTCTCTACTGATATACAACTTAGTCTTAATACTTTACAAAGACATTGAATTTTTTGTTTTCATATTAAAATCTCAAGGAAACTGATTAAGAGACCAAGCAATCAGCTTGGGCACAGAAGAAACTTAAGAAAATGTTATCCCATATTAGCATTTTCTGCTGAACTTGAGGAATAAATACTTTTTGTGATATTTGGGGTTTTATGTTTCAGTGACCTGTTTAGGGAAACTTTTCTGCTATAAGGGCTGAATATAAGTTGCAAAGATTTAAGCCTTTCCTGATATTAATGTTCCACCTCATTAACTTCATTGTCAGCGCTTTTACACTTCATTGATTTAAATAAAATGATATAACTGTAGTTCTGTCCTTTCTCTGGCTCTCTCTCCTTTTTGAGGTCTAGATGATTGTGTATTTAGTTTTGTATTTTCATTTAGACTCCGTTGTTAATTTTGTTAAGCCCAAGATGAGGATAAAGGGAAATTATGGTATAACTAAATGTCTTACCCTGCTGAAGCCCTGACAGATAAGGGAATGCATTTGTTGAGATAAACCAATCACTTTCTTTTTTAGCTAGTGCTTTAACATTTGTTATGGTCTTCAGGTGCTCCTCAGAGATCATGAACTTCTATTCTATTGTGAAGTTCAGATTGGTGATTATATAGGAGCTTTCACATATATCCCATGGTATTTTTAGACCTGGAACCCAAATAATGGAGAGCTTGGCTTTAAAAAAGCAAGCTATGTTTGTCCTTAAAAATGTTATCTAAGCATTTTCAGTAAAATAGGAATTATGCAATGATTTCTCAAGGAAAGTCACCTTTGCAAATATTTGCAATTACTTCCAAGTGGTAGACCTATTTAGGCAGTAAGGTTTTTTTTTTTGCATGATTTACTGCCAGATGTGAGCCCTCCTTAGCACCATATACCCCAAGTGCGAGTTAGATGTCTTTGTTAACATTTAGAGAAAAAGAACTTAATGAACTTGAGTTCGGGGCAACGAAGCTGTCATGTTGCCAAGATGTTTTGCATTAAAAAATAATTACTAACATATTAATAAATAACTTTATGAAGATTAATCCGTATTTGACCCTTAAATTTAAATATTTAGCAAAGAATTTCATTTTACAGAAGTTAGGTGCTGACATGAGATAGTGGTGTTCATTTCTAACCATTTCTTTTATTTTCCAGCTCACCAGCGACTAGAACCAGCAACTTTGTCAGCAATTGTGGCATTTATCCTCAGTCTTTTATGTGGAGCTCTGAATTTAATTCGAGGTTTTCATGCCATAGAAAGTCTTTTGCAGGTACTGTGCTGATTTTGCAATTTCAGGTGACTGTGCCTGTTGCTTCTACTTGTTACTCAGTTGATTTGAATTGATCTGGGTATTAGTACAATTTACGTTGCATGCTCAAATTCTGTATTCTTTATGCCAGCCCTGGTCTCCCCTTCCTCTAAGAACAATGATTTCTAGTTGGCCTCTTTGACTCAATTAGCATGTATTTATTTATAATTTACTCTGCAGGAGGCACTGTAGGTGGATACTCTGGGGACACCAAGGTATGTGTGACATGAACACTGCAGTCTCAGAGCCTAGAGTTGAATTGGGAGGGGGCAAAGCCATCCATCAATAATTACCAAGTACATAGAGTTTGGAAGAGGAGCAGTCACTGCGAGTCAGGATAGGAGAAGACTGTGGAGGAGGGGTGAGCTGGACCTAGAAGGATCTGAGTGGAAAGAGAGGAATGGAAAAAAAAAAAAGAGGGCATTTATGGGCAGGTTTTTGTCCCACTTTTATGTATTTCTACCTTGTTATCTCCTTTTTTTTTTCCTTTTTAATTGGAGGCTACCAGAAACCACTATTTTTTTTTTTTTCAAATATTGCCAACGATTCTGTTTTCCAGTGGAGTTTTCTCAGAGACTCTGGCTATCAGAATATACTAACTTTTTCTCTTTTATAAAGTTTTTGAAACTTCCTTTCTTAAAGTTTAGCACATTTCAGACTGGACAGCTTTCCTTACCTTTGTTTCTGCTCACTTTCTCTGAAGATTTTTTCTTGACACTTGCACATATAAATAAATTCTCTGTTTTTGGTCAGCATTAAGCTCAGAATACCAGTTGTAAAAAAAACCACTTAACATGCCTTATATTCTTTTTCAAAATTGCTTGTTTTGTTTGGGGAACACTCAGAGAGTACCATTCTGAGTACCCTCTGAATGTTGTCAGCTCTTTGAAGCCAGTAGCAGAGCACATCACAAGTTTCAGGCAGCTGAGCTGTCCCTTGGGTGGGGAGGAGGAGTGTCTCATGACTTTTTAATTCTTCTTTCAAATATCCTGAGCCCTCAGGTAAAGCTCCTCTTCCCTTTCAGGCACAGTGTCCCTTCGTGTTCCTGCCCCTGTTCCCTAGCCAGGTCAGCTTTATTCCAGCAGGAGTTCAATTTTGAGCCAGTTAGACAGCCTGCCAAAAAGAAACAAAGGCAATTTGGAGACCACTGACTGAAAAAGTTAATAAATAAGATATTCTCTCCCCTCCCCACCTTTTTTTTTTTAAACTTGTTGTAGTGGAAAGAACTTGTTGTGTGGGTGTGTGAAGAGTTAGTTTTTATTTGTGGAGCAAAGAGAGTGTTGGTTCCAGTTCAGCTCCTGATTAGCTCTATGACCTTGAATAGTTCACTTTGGTTTCTGGTCTTCAGTTTCATTACTTATAAATGAAGGAGAAGGTTGGATTTGATGAGTATTTCTCAAAGTATGGAGCACATTTATCACAGGTTGCATAGTAGATGACTTTAGGTGGTTAGAGGGATGAATGTTTTTAATTTTAAGAGTTATGTATTTAATGTATATTAATGTATAATAACTGTATTTGGTAAGAGATAGTATCTGTTAATGATAGAGATATAAAATTTTTTTATGTTTGTTTGTTTTGGGGGGAGGAGAGGCAGAGATAGGGAGACAGAGGATCCAAAGCAGTCTGCCCCCTGTTAGTGCAAAGCCCAACGTGGGGTTCAAACCCTCAAATTGTAAGATCATGACCTGAGCTGAAGTCGGATGCTCAACTGACTGAGCCACCTAGGCACCCCTAAGATTTTCTTTTTAAAATAATTTTAATAAAATGCCAACTTTATGCATTTTATTAAGTAAATAGTGGTATAATTAGTATTTACAGTTGGCAAAAATTGTGAAGATGGTTTTCTGTGGTTAAAAAAAAATTCTCAAGTTGTTTGAAAGTAGCAAATTAGTAAGGGGAGGGGGCAGATCTGGGTAGAGAAGTTTTTGTGCTATAGAGCCGTACCATCCCTGACTCAGAAGACAGTGTACAAGTGTGAAACCTGGACCTTAGACCCTCCTTACTTTTAAAAGTCAGGCAAGGTTGTTGTATCTCACAAAACCTATTAAAGAAAGTAATTTCTGGGGTGCCTGGGTGGCTCAGTCATGCATTCGACTCTTGATTTAGGCCTGGGTCATGATGTCACAGTCATGGGATCGAGCCCTGTGTCAGACTCTGTGCTGAATGAACGTGGAGCCTGCTTGGGATTCTGTCTCTCCCTCTCTCTGCCTCTTTCTCTCACTCTCTCAAAATAAGTAAACATTTTAAAAAATAGCTTCTTTTAGGCACTTAGGTATCTTATCCCTCAGTTTCCTGATTCTTTCCTCCCTCTTCTGATTACTGACTTCAAAGCTAAGGAAAGTAGTATACACTACAGCTTTTGATGATTTTGAGCTGCTACAGCTGACTCATGCCTGCCTTGATGCCTAAGTATTCCATGTTTTCCCTCCGACCAGTAATGTCTTTGCCTCATTGCAGTTATTTAGGGTTCAGAAGAACAATAATCTGATTAAATGGATTATTACGTGTAACTGGCTGATAGCTCTGAGATTACTCGGCCTGTTTACACTTTAAAAAGACATTACAGACCAATGTAACTCATGAACACAGAAAACTCCTCAACAAGATATTAACAAATTGAATCCGATGATATATAAAAAGAATCATACCACAGCTGAGTGGATTTATTCCAGGTATGCAAGGCTGGTGCAACATTCGACAGTTAATATAATCTGTCACATCAACAGGCTAAAGAAGAAAAATCATAGGATCGTGTCTTGCATACAGAAAAAGCATGTGACAAAATCCAATACCTATTCATGAACTCACCACAAGCTAGGTATGAAGGGGAACTTCCTCAACTTGATAAAGAACATCTACAGAAACTCTACAGCTAACACCATACTTGATGAGAAACTAGATGCTTTGTCCCTAAGATCAGGAACAAGACAAGGATGTCCTCTCTAACCATTCCTATTCAACATCGTACTGGGAAACCTAGTTAATGCAGTAAGACAAGAAAACAGAAGGCATACAGTTTGGGAAAGAAGGAGTACAACTGTCTTTATTCACAGATGTTCTGATTATGTAGACAATCCCGAAGAACTGACAAATTCCTAGAATTCATAAATGATATAGCACAGTTATTGGTTCCAAAGTTAATATATAAAAGTCAATTACTTTCCTACATATCAGCAAGGAACAGTTGAAATTTGAAATTTAAAAAACAATACCATTTATATTGGCACCCCCCAAAATGAGGCGCTTAAGAATAAATCTGACAAAACATATATAAGATCTGTGTGAGAAAAACTATAAAACTGTGATAAAAGAGATCAAAGAAGATCTGAATAAATCTTCTGAATTATCTGAATAAATGGAGTGACATTCCATTTATAGTGACATTCCATGTTCATGAGTGGGAAGATTCGTTGTTAAGATGTCAGTTCTTCCTAACTTGATCTATAGATTCAGCACAATCCCAATCAAAATCCCAGCTAGTTATTTTGTAGATACTGACAAAGTGATCCTAGTAAGGACAGGTAAAAGCCAACATAATACTGAGAAAAAGGAAATCAAAGGACTGACACTACCCAACTTCAAGATTTACTGTTAAGCTATAATAATTAAGACAGTGTGGTGTTGGCAAAACAATAGACAAATGGATCAATAGAACAAAATAGCTCAGAAACATACCCATAAAAGTATAGTCAACTGATCTTTGACAAAGGAACAAAAGCAATTCAGTGGAGAAAGAATAATATTTCAACAAATGGTGCTGAAACAGACATCCACATGCAAAAAAAAAAAAAAAATCTGGAGACAGATTTTACACCTTGAATTAAACAACTTAACTCAAAATGGATCACAGACCTAAATGTAAGGTACAAAACTTTTAAAAGATATCAGGAGAAAACCTGGATGACCTTGGGTTTGGTAATGACTTTTTATATACAACATCAAAAGCATGACCCATGAAAGTTTAAAAAGTTTTGTCCCGTGAAGGACATTAAGAGAATGAGAAGATAAGCCACAGGGTAGGAGAAAATGTTTGCAGGACACATCTGACAAATGGCTTGTATCCAAAACATACAAAGAACTCTTAAAACTTAAACAATGCAATTAAAAATTGGGCAAAAGAACTGAACAGGCACCCCACCAAAGTAGATATCCAGGTGGAAACAAAGCATATGAAAAGATGTCCAACATCATATGTCACTAAGGAATTGCAAATTAAAACAACAATAAGAAACTACTAAACTATTAGAATGGCAAAACAAAACAAAACACTGGCAGTACTGAATGTTAGTGAGGATATATAACAATATGAAGTCTTCATTCGTTGCTGGTGGTAGTGCAAAATGGCAGTCATTTTGGAAGACAGTTTGGCTGTTTCTCACAAAGCTAAGCATAGCCTTACTATATAATGCAGCAATCATACTCCTATGTATATTTACCCAAATGAATAGAAAACTTATATCTACCAGAAACCTGCACATGAATGTTTATATCCTAATTTCAAAAAACCAGAAGCAATTAAGATGTCCTTCAAAAGGTGAAAGAATAAACAATCTGTACAATGGAGTGTTATTCAGTGAGAAAAAGAAATAAGTTCTTAAGCCACAAAAAGACCTGGCTAAACCTGGGGTGCCTGGGTGGCTCAGTTGGTTAAGCATCCAACTTCGACTCAGGTCATGATCTCACAGTTTGTGAGCCCCGCATCGGGCTCTGTGCTGACAGTTCGGAGCCTGGAGCCTGCTTCAGATTCTGTGTCTCCATTTCAATCTGCCTCTCTCCTGTTCGTTCTCTGTCTCTGTCTCTCTCAAAATAAAGACATTTTAAAAAATTAAAAAAAAAAAAAATGGCTAAACCTTAAATGCCTGATGCTTAATGCAAGAGGCCAGTCTGAGGAAACTACATAGTTACATGATTCCAACTATTATGACATTCTGGGAAAGGCAAAACTATAGAAACAGTAA